ATATAAGAACTGTCCCACAGCCCTCACATCGCTTTTCTGCAACATTCAGAACTCTAACCCCCCCCCCCACCAACGATTGAACGAGCACGATGATTTTCATTACATTTAAAAAAGGAAAAACTCGTACATGAGATCGTCCGGCACGTCGAAGACGTTCGGTTGAATCGTTCTCAGATATCGACTGTTGGCGCAGAAGATCGACGATAGACGGATTTTCCGAATCTCGCTCAGTTGGGCTTAAATTAACATAAATTACCGTAATCCTAGGTTTGACGGTTAACTGTCATCAAACTGCATACAAGAGAACGGAAAATGAATGAGCTGCGTGGGAAGCACGAACAGCTTATAAGCGTTCATAGTTGGCAACAGTACGTGCGATTAGGCGATTCGGTGATTAGGCGACGATTCAGCGAATAGGGGAGTAGGCGAGTGGACGAGTAGTGCGATTAGGCGAGTAGGCGAGTAGGCGATAAGGGAAGGATACGTATTGATTTGTTGCTCCGCCCATTGAGCGATCGCCTAATCGCCTAATCGCCTAATCGATACGTATATTTTCATATAGACCAATCGCCTAATCGCCTAATCGCACGTACGATCGCCAACTCTGAACGCTCCATTAGACTACCTAGTCCATCGTTGTTTTTACATCACCAACCAAATTTCGCAATCCTTTCGTATGAAACCCTCACATACAAATCAGGACATGGACGAGCTCATGGTTTCACTACGTAGGAGGAGGAACCGTCCGTTATACCAGGTTCAACGAGATTGATCTTGCCTGGTAAACGAGATTGATCTTGCCTGGTATTTTCCGAGCCGGGTCGCAGTTTTGTGTCTTAGCGATGGTGGCAGGGAAGTCGTATTTGAGATTTTTAGAGTAGTCGTTATAGTGGATGGGAGGGGGAGGGAAAAAGAAGGGTGTTCTCGACGGGTGTTCGACAATTCTGGCGAAAACTGGGGAGGAAGTATTAAATAAGTAAAATGAGAACATTTGTCGCTTTGCTAGAAATATTGATGTGAAGTGGCCAGAAGTGGACTGTGTCAGCTGGTTTTGGAAAACCGTAAAAAATCATGACGAGCGTTGTAGCCGAGAAAGGGACGTTTGAGAGAACCCACCCCTCCCAGGCTGGATGGTGGAGGTGGGGCATGTAGGGTCCATACAAAAGAAGGGGCGGGGAATAAGGAAATTGTCGAAATCGGAACAGCGACGGTTGGCCCTGCTACGAAGGTAGGAATGGTAGGAGCTCTGCAATGGCCACACACTTTCAACAACCAGAGAATCATTCCCGGAATCACCCAAGCGATACTTTCACTGATCATTCCTTGCATCTTATGTATCAAACATTGTCGAAACTAACCTGGGCTAAATTTGGCCACACCATCGTTTTCGTAAAAGAATCGGTCGCATTTCTTCAGTCGGCCAAATTGTTCGGCAAGAATGCAAGACATTGTTGGACCTAGCTGAACATTTTTCTTCAGTAGAAGGAATGTCGAAGAATCAGTCGTTTTTTTCTCTAATATGTCCTTTGAATAGTTTAGGATCAGTGCTTCAAACTCATACGCATACATACGCATACTCCTCAACCAGTTGCTGGAAGCGGTTTTGGTCCTCGAAAATAAGAGAGACGTGAAATGGACCAGTAGAGAGAGAAAGATGGGACACTGCCGGAGCACTTTAAAGGCAAGCTTTGCGACAAAACTAGCGTAGAGGGTGCTTCATGGCGATGGCTGAGCTGCGGAGTGAACTGAAAGTGGAAAGGAAAGCAAGAGAAATCTTGGGAACGCTAAAATTAAGGCCTTAACCTTCAGTAAGGTCGGATGTGGTACGATGGCGAGACAGGGCGATCAAAGAAGACAAAACACGAGAGAGCACGCTGATCTCTATATCAGCGGTGGGTGGGAAGCGTTGCAACGGGGGTCGATGGTTGCAGGCCGTAAGGATTAGCGCCCTAATCGCGCAATTTGGGCAACGAAGCTGGCGTGATCTAAGGTACGGACCTCACAATTTCCCTCGTGGTATCCTTCCTACAAGTCAAGCTAATCCAGGGGTTTGCCTTGACATTAAGAACCTCGTTCTTCTCTGAAGCGGATCATACGACGTACGTCGAAGAGACACTGGGAGCCGGCAAGATGGATTAGACGTGGGAGTAAATGGACAAGAGATTAAGACTCTTTGCTGTAAAGATCGCTGCATCGCGGAAGCACTTAAAAAGAAGCAATCCCAAATGAAAATGGCCCTTGTGCCCTCTTTCGTACATTCAAGCCATAAGAATGGAACTACTCCTGTGCTCGTAGAACACCACAAGGAGATTCAATGTGGAATTGTTGTCTATCAAAGTTTCTCTCCTTTCGCTTAAGAAAAATAAATGAAACCTTGAAAAGAAACAAAAGAGATATTTTTTGTAGAAATTCGAAAATTTATCTGCTTGATAAGGTGTCGTGTCTCACCAGTGCTCCCTTCAGAGGCCGTTCACTGACAAGTCCTGGGAACAAGTCAATGTCGTCAACTGATTCGTACAGCGATGAAAGGGCTGATATCGCATCGGAGTCCATCTCGTGCTGGAATACTGATGCTACTGGCTATTATGCGAGTGAGAGGAACAAAACGATGTGGCTTCACAGCAGTAATGTTGACATGGCGCCTTACTTAACCA